GCGATCAAAAGTAACTTGTTTTGAATAACAGACCCTCCTTGAACCTTTATCACTCACTCCTGAACTGTTTCAACAGCCAGGTACAAAAACCAAATATTATAATAAAAGATGCCCCTATTGCTGTTATCACGTTTTCCTAAATGGAAATTACAAGAGTTTTAGTAGTTCTGGCCAGGAGCTAGGGATAAGGCAAAAATATGTATTTATTATATCACAGTATTACACTTTACAGGGTATTAAAATGACAGTAGTAAAAGAATGCTACTGGGACAAGAGACTGATACATCAGTGAAAATACTTAAATACAGTGGGCATTTACTCTATGATAAAGGTACCATTTCAGCTCCATTTGGAAAAAGATGGATTATTCAACAAATAATGCCAAGACACTTTGCTAGCTATTTGGAGTATGGTGAGAATTTTTAGTTGTAGCCCTACTTTACTCCCGTCACCAAAATCCAAGTATAAAAGATCCAAGTATAAAAAAGAGAGATCATAAAAGTTCTGGTTATCTGACTTTTCTAATAAATTTGAGCAGAAGACTGTCAAGGTCTGACAAAATCTTGGAGTCATAAAGCCAAAGATTTGATAAATGTATATATTAAAATTAAAAGTGTCTTCATGTTAGAAAATATGATGCAAAATCAATTTATAAATGAAAAATGAGAAAACAATTTTAAAAAATTGAGAAACTGAGAAAAGGGTCTACTTTTCTTGCTATGCAAAGAGCTTTTTACAAATCAATGACAGCCTAAAAGGAAAACAAAGGACCTGAACAAAAAGTTTATAGTAAAAGAAATGCAAATGGCCATTAAAGATATGAAGAAATACTTAACTATCTCAATAAAGAATGTACTAAACCACAGATTTTGTTTTACCTGTCACAATAGCACAGATGAAAAGATTTGATTATCCCTAGTATTGTTGAGTACGTGGGGAAACATTAATGTACTCTTATAAGACTATTATTAGAAGTGCAAATTTGTTGCAACATTTTTGAAAGTGTGGAGCAATTGGATGATATCTAACTAACGTTGAAATAAATATTCCCTTTTCACCCAGACTTCCATTTAAGGGAATTACAGATACACAGATAAAGTTGTACCCAGAAAAATAAAATAAAGTTACACATAAACACACAGACAAATGTTCACTGCAGCAAGCTTTGGAAGAATAAACTACTGGAAACAACCAAATAGTTAAATTTTGGTAAAGTAAATCAGTTTAATATAAAATGTTTGCAGATGCACAAAATCTTGCTTTGAACAAGTAGTTTTACTCTACTTGGCAGGAATTTTTCTGTAAGAAAACTTGTTTAATATTGGTTATTACCAGAAAGTGGAACTAGGAGGTTCAGAGATAACAGGGAGACCTTTACTTTTCATATTAAATTTGTCTGCATTATTTGAATATTTTGCATGTTTAATTTTTTAAAGTCTGCAGTTCTAGTATGAAAGAAATATTTAAAAATAAATGAAAAGCAGTAAATCATATTTTCAGTGTACTTTTATATATTTGGGGAGAATTTTGCAAATATCTATAAAATTAATTCAATTATCAGAAGTAAATAACTACTTCAACTTATTTGACCTTTACTCTTAACAAAGTGCCATGAGATGATGGTGATTATCTAATCCTGTTGTTCTATAAAGCCCTTTATACTTAAGGAATTCAGCTTGCTGCTGCTGCTTTTTCTTCTTTTTTTCTTTTTCTTTTTTTTTTTTTTTTTTGAGATGAAGTCTCACTGTGTCGCCCAGGCTGGAGTACAGTGGCACAATCTTGACTCACCGCAACCTCCACCTGCTGGGTTCAAGCAATTCTCCTGCCTCAGCCTCCCCAGTAGCTGGGATTGCAGGTGTGCACCACCACACCTGGCTGATTTTTGTATTTTTAGTAGAGATGGAATTTCAACATGTTGGCCAAGCTGGTCTTGAACTCCTGACCTCAAGTAAACCACCCCCATTGGCCTTCCAAAGTGCTGGGATTACAGGTGTGAGCCACCGTGCCCAGGCTTCAGCTTGCTTATTTTCTACTATTCTCGCTATATTTTACTTCAGTCCCAGACTGGGAGGACTATGTTCATTGAAAATACTGATATTAGGAAATAAACATTTTAGAGCAATGTTATCTATTTCCTTATTGTTTTACTTACTGCTTTAATGAATTCTAGATAGCCCTTTAAATTTTTGCTTTATTTATCCTGTTGCCAAGGTATCCATCCTGAAATACAGCCATAATTATGTTACTCCCCTGTTCAAAATGGTATAGCAGCTCTTCATTTCTTTTAAGAATAAAATTTAAAGTCCTTGGCCTAATGTTCCAGACCTTGTAGAATTTGGCCCCAAATAACCTTTGGTACCTTACTTTCCTCTGCTTTATAAATGAAATAAGCCATACATACTGAATATTTATACTCTCCCTTGTTGCCTCAGTGCTTTCCTACTTTTATGCTTTTGCTCATGCTATTTGATGAAACAGGGGAAAGGCCAGCATGGCTGAAGTATAGTTACCAGGAAGAGTGGTACAAAATGGGGAAGAAAAGTTATGTATACTTGTACTTCTTGTTAAGGAGTTTGGGCTTTGTTCTCAGTGTAAGAGAAGGTCATTGAAAGTTGCTAAATAGAAAGTGACAAGTCCAGTTTACATTTTTAAAAGATTACTTTGACCACTATTTGAAGAATAGATTGGAAAAGTACAAGAAGGGACAGGAGACCTATTAGAGACTTGCAGTGTTGTGACAGGAAATAGAAATAGATGTGTGATTGTTTGGTGAAGGATTAACGACAGGAGCAGGAAGAGAAGGGAATTGGAACTATCAAGAATAATTCCCAGATTTTGGCTTGGGCAGTAGGATGATGTGCCATTTACAGAGATGTGGAAGACCAGGGGAGGTACAATTGTCAAGGAGGCTAGAATAGAGCTCAGTTAGATGACTGTGACATCCAAGTGGATATATCATGTATATTAGTTGGAACTCAAGAGAAATCATAGCTTGAAATGTAAAGTTGAAAACAGGTAACAGCATGAAAATGGTACTAAAAGCCAGAGGGAGAGATGAGATTACCTAGAAAGAGAATATAGAATGAGAACATTTCCTGGAATTGGCCATACATTGAGATCATTGATCATATTAGCAAGAGCAGTTTTAGTCCAGGAGTGTGGCTGTACTCTGCAGTAATTTGAAGAGTGAATTGGGGTAGGGAGAGAGGTAAAAGAGAGGAAAATAGGTTCCTCTTTAGAAGCTTGGCTATGAGGAGGAACAGAGAAATGGGCCAGTACCTGTAGGAAGATGTGAGGATTTTCTAAACGTACATACTAAACGATTTTTTCAAGCCATTGGAAATGATCCAGTAGAGAGGAAGAACCTGAAAGATAGAAGAGAGATATGATAGGGAAAGGAAGCAAGGTCTGGAAGGGAAGATGAGTTGGGCTCCAGAGCAGCAGTGGAGGAACTTGCCTTTAAAAGAATGGGAGAGGTAGTGCTGTCTCTGTATCCAGAAGGGTTGTGGGAACAGGTGGATTGGCATAGGTGACAGCTGACTCAGGACATCCACAGAAAGTGATCCCTCAGCCCAGAATGTTCTTCTGCCTGTTTGTTTGTTTAGTTCTCATTTTTACTTCACATCTCATGCTCCTCAGAGAAATCTTCTCTAGCTACCATTTCCCAGTTAAATTTCTCTTACATCACCTTGTTTTTGTTCTTTGTAGCCACTAATTTAGAATTATATATTTGTTTGTATTTGTTCAGTGCAGAAACTGCAATCTCAAGAACCTGTAGTATCTAAATGAAATCTCCCAATTTTTAAATGTTGCTAGAACATTCTAAAATTGTATAGTCTACATACTTTAGGTATAAATGCAGGCCCTGTGTATCCCACTCTACTCAGGGGAAATCCTTAGGGATTCCTAGAGTATTTCATGAAAACTCTGCTTGCCAGTAATCTATAGTGTGGGTGAAAAGGATCCCATCATTGCATGTGTGTATCTTTGTTTCTGCCCATGATGTAGAACTCTAAAACAGTGTTTTGATGTCATAGTGGAGATTAGAATTAGGGCTTATGATTGTGTCTTAGCTCTTTCCTGCCAGTGTAACAAAATTCTACAGATCTAAGATCAAGGCACCAGCAGATTGGGTGTCTGATGAGAGCCCAAAATGGTGTCTTGTTGCTTTGTCCTCACGTGGTGGAAGGCAGGAAAAGGCCAAACAGGATCCTTCAGGCCCTTTTATAAGGGCACTAATCCCATTCATGAAGGTGGAGCCTTCATGACCTAATCACCTCCTCCCTAATACTGTTGTATTGGGGATTATGTTTCAACATGAATTTTAGAGGGACACAAACATTCAAACCATAGATAATTGTAAGATACTACATCTAAAAATGCCCTTTTTTTGTATAAAGTGGTGGTTGTCAAAAAGTGAAGATGGAAAGTGGTAAATTTTATGTGTTTTTTACCACAATAAAAAAAACTTGGAAAAAATCAAGATGGTCCACAGAAAAGGAATTTCAAAGGCTGTAAAACATGTAAAAAGGGTTTTTAAAAAAAATTATCCATTTAATTACTGATTATGAAAATGAAGTGTCAGGTTTCTTATCTGAATATGGGATTACCAGTATCTATCTCTCAGATTTAATAGCAGGATTAATTAAAAAAACAGATACAGAGCATATATCATAACACCCTACACAGAACAGGTGGTAAATACATATAGCAGTTGCTTTTATGATCTAGAGAACTGAAGTGCCTTCCTCAAGGTCACATAGCCAGTCAGTGGCAGAGCCCAGGCCAAAATTCATGTCTCCTAAACTTTTACTATACCAGCGAGGCTGCTAAGACAAGGCATGAGTCTTTTGTGCAGGCATTGAATTTTCTGATACCTTATGTAAACTGTTCTTCCCTTTAGTCTTTGTTATATATCTAAAGAATTGTGAATAGTATTTCTAAACAGAATGCTAATATTTTTAAGTTCTTTCAAAATCTTTTTTTTTTCTCTTTTTCAGAGTCTGAATGTCATTCAGAATTTGAAAATACTACCCATTCTGTCTTCAGGTCGGCAAAGTTTTACATTCATCATCCCGTACACCTACCAAGTGATCAAGATATTTGCCATGAATCTTTGGGAAGGAGTGTTTTCATGAGACATTCTTGGAAAGATTTCTTTCAGCATCATCCAGACAAACAGAGAGAACACATTTGTCTTCCTCTTCCTTATCAAAACATGGACAAGACTAAGACAGATTATACCAGAATAAAGAGCCTCAGCATCAATGTGAATTTGGGAAACAAAGAGGTGACAGATATTACTAAAAGTCAAGCTAGAGATTATCCAGAATATAGTGGACAAATTAATGATCCAAAAAGGGATCAGAAGGTCACCCCAGAGCAAACAACTCAACACACTGTGAGTTTGAATGAACTGTGGAACAAGTATCGGGAGCGACAGAGGCAACAGAGACAGCCCGAGTTGGGTGACAGGAAAGAACTATCCTTGGTGGACCGACTTGATCGTTTGGCTAAAATTCTTCAGAATCCAATCACGCATTCCCTCCAGGTCTCAGAAAGTACACATAATGATAGCAGAGGGGAACGAGATGTGAAGGAATGGAGTGGTAGACAACAGCAGAGAAACAAGCTGCAGAAAAAGAAGCGATTTAAAAGCCTAGAGAAAAGCCATAAAAACACAGGAGAGCTTAAAAAAACCAAGGTGCTTTCTCATCATGGAGCTGGGAGGTCTAATCAAATTAAAATTGAACAGATTAAATTTGATAAATATATTCTGAGTAAACAGCCAGGTTTTAATTATATAAGCAACACTTCTTCGGATTGTCGGCCCTCAGAGGAGAGTGAGCTGCTCACAGATACTGCCACCAACATCCTTTCCAGCACCACTTCTACTGTCGGATCAGATATATTGACCCAAACAGATAGAGAAGTGGCTCTGCACGAAAGGAGTAGCTCTGTTTCCACTATTGACACTGCCCGGTTGATTCAAGCTTTTGGCCGTGAAAGAGTATGCTTGTCACCCAGACGAATTAAATTATATAGCAGCATCACCAACCAACAGAGGAGATACCTTGAGAAGCGGAGCAAACACAGCAAGAAAGTATTGAATACAGGTCATCCCCTAGTGACTTCTGAGCACACCAGAAGGAGACGCATCCAGGTACATGGCTACAAATTCCATCTGGCAATGTGACTGCCCTCTTCGTGGACTTTCTAGTTAAGCTTTGCACACAGGTGAAAAAGCCATTTGCCCCTTCCTCTCTATACCATTTCTTACCAACTGGAAAAGAGTGAGAAAGTGTAGTACAGTGCTATTGTGAGTTGTCATTATTTTCATCAACATTCATTTACGAATTACCTTTTGAATGAAGGGCTTTGCTGCTAGATCCTTCAGAATCTGTAGACTTTACCCCTGAAATGGGGGAGCTTTGAGGTTAGAATGATCTCTATCCTGAACAATATTGCTGGGTTTATGTTTATTTGGGTTTTTTTTTTTAAATTCATTCCTCTCTGTCTTTCAAGAAATATATTTGAGGTTCTTTTAAACACATACAGACAAACACATAAATAATACAGGTTGGGTTTTTTTTTTTTTTTTTTTTTTTGGTAATCGAAGAATTGAGTTGATTTAAAAAATTGAAGCTGGGTTGAGCTACAATATGATTTTTTAAAAATGAGTAAATAAGGAAATGTGAATAATGGAAAGACAAAGCCAGAAGGAAGATAAATAAGCCTTGTGGATGTGGTCGCTAGAAAAGAGCTACAAATTTGGCTTTATGTTTTCTAGCACTTAGTGTTGCTAGAATTTTGTGATCGGTTACATTCATTTTTTAATATAAAAAGAGAACAAAAATTTTAGAAACATTACAGATATTTCTGATACAGAGACCTAAGATAAATTTATCTCATCTGTTTTCTTAAAGAAGGCACCACAGTGCAACAAAGAGTATCCTCCTATAAGGCCATTATCACATTCCTTAGTTTAGGGTGTTAATAAGGGAGATCTCAAGGGGTCAATAAATGTAGGCCATTGCTTTAACCCAAGAGGAAAATTTCAAGTATCGATAGATGTGCTCTCCAAAGAAGGATGCTTGCAAAACAGTTCAGTGGAGTATGGAATGAAAAATATTTGAATTTATATTCATTTTTCTCAACTTTTTAAACTCTATATTTTTGTGTATATTTTATAAGCACAGTAGTGACATAACATATAAATAAATACCTATTTTGGCAATTTGTGCTAAGAAAACATTTTGTCAGTAGGATTACATGATCAAAAGAAATTGGAGACCACTGGTCTAGAGGAAGGGAGGCATGAGATGTTCAGACAATTTATTATAAATATTATTTATCATCATTGAGAAAAGGTAGTGTTTACATATATAAACAGTAGAATATGCTTTTTTAAAAGTAAGTGAAGAATTGGGAATGACACAGAGTAAGGCTTTTGTTCCATAGGGGAGACAGAGAAATGGATCCAGGAGAGGGTTTGTGTGTGTGTAGTAAAATACACATGACATAAAGTTTACAGTTTTGATCATTTTCAAGTATACGATTCTGTGGCATTGAGTATATTCACAGTGTTTTACAACCATCACCACTATCTGTTTCCAGAAATTTTTTATTAACCCAGTGGAAACCCTGTACCCATTAAGCAGTGACTCTCTGTTCCCTCTTCTCACCAACCCCTGGCAACCAGTAATCTATTTTCTGTCTCTGAGGATTTTCCTATTCTGGTTGTTTCATATAAATGGAATCATTTAATATATGACCTTGGTATCAGGTTTCTCTCTCTTAGACTTAATGTTTTGAATATTCATCTATGGCATAACATGTATCAATACTTCGTTGCTTTTTATAGCTGAGTATTACTCCATTGCATGTATATACCACATTTTGTTTATCCATTCATTCATTGATTTGGGTTGTTTCCACTTTTTGGTTATTGTGAATAGAACTGATATAGAACATTTGTGTACACCTGTCTGCAGTTCTTTTGGGTATATATCTAGGAATGGAAATGCTGGGCCATATGGTAATTCTGTGATTAGCTTATTGAGGAACTGCCAGACTATTTCATAGTACCTGCACCATTTTGCATTCCCATCAGCAGTGTATAAGGGTTCCTCCAACCTTCCTACTTTTTTCCACAGTTACTGCTTTAGTTTATATTTGCACCAGCAGTTCACAAGGGTTTCAATTTTATTGCATCCTTGCCAACACTTATTTTCTATTTTTTAATATATAAGCTAGCCATCCTATTGGGTGTGAGTTAGTATCATTGTGGTTTTGATTTGCATTTCCCTAGTGGTTATTCATGTTGCACATCTTTTTATGTGCTTATTTAACCATTTGTATATCTTCTTTTGAAAAATGTGTTTTCAAGTCATTTGTCCATTTTAAATCTGGCTGTTTGATTTTTTAGTTTTTGAGTTGTAGGGATTTTCTGTATATTCTGGATATTGATCTCTTATTAGATACATGAGCTGCAAATATTTTCTCCCATTTTGTAGGTTGCCTCTTTTACAACAGTCATTCTGCTGACCGTGTCTTCTGACATACAGAAGTTTTAAATTTTGTTGTAGTCCAATGTAGCTATTTTTTTGTTTGTTTGTTTCTTGTGCTTTTGATGTCATATCTTAGAAATATTTGCCAAATCCAGTGTCATGCAAGTTTTCTTCTTAAGAGTTTAATAATTTTAACTTTTACTTTTAGATCTTTGATCCATTTTGAGTTAATTTTTGTGTATGGTGTGAGATAAGGGTCCGCCTTCATTCTTTTGCATGTGAATATCCCATTTTCTCAACACCGTTTGTTGAAAAGACTTTGTTTTTTCCCCAGTGAATGTTCTTGGCACTCTTGCCAAATATCGTTTAGCCATATATGTGAGGGTTTTTATCTGTGCTCTCTATTATGTTAGTCTATATGTCTCTCTTTATGCCAATACTGTACTGTTTTGATTTACTGTATCTTTATAATGAGTTTTGAAAGCAGGTAGTGTGAAACCTGTAACTTAGTTCTTTTTTCAAAATCATTTTGGCTCTTCGGTGTCCCTTGAGATTTCATGAATTTTTAGTAAATATTTTATTGTTTTTAATACCATCATATGTGCAGTCCTCTTTCTTAATTTCATGTTTGGATTATTCATTGCTAATGTATAGGTACATAAATAATTTTTACATACTTATCTTGTATCTTGCAGCTTTGCTGAATTTATTAACTATTTTCTTGTGGATTTTTAAGGATCTGAGGATTTCATGTTGAGGAAATTCCCTTCTTTTTCTATTTTGATGAGTATTTTTGTCATGAAAGCATTTTGGTATTTGCCAAATTCTTCAACATCTATTGAGATTACTATTTTTTTTCTTTTTTCTTTCCTTTTTTTTTTTTTTTTTTTTGAGACAGAGTTTGGCTCTTGTTGCCCAGGCTAGAGTACAATGGTGTGATCTCAGCTCACTGCAACCTCTGCCTTCTGGATTCAACCAATTCTCCTGCTTCAGCCTCCCAAGTAGCTGGGATTACAGGTGCCTGCCACCACACCCAGCTATTTTTTGGATTTTTAGTAGAGACAGGGTTTTACCATGTTGGCCAGGCTGGTCTCGAACCCCTGACCTCAGGTGATCCACCCCTCTCGGTCTCCCAAAGTGCTGGGATTACAGGAGTGAGCCATCATGCCTGGCCTGTTTTTTTCTTTTAATCTGTTATTATGGTATATATTTATTGATAATCATATTTTGAACCAACTTTACATTCCTGAGATAAATACCACTTGATCATAAAATTCTGTTCATATGCTGCAGGATTGTTTATTAGAATTTGAAGAGGACTTTTTTACGTCTGTATTCACAAGGAATATTGGTCTACAGTTTTTTTGTGATGTCTTTACTGCCTTTAGTATCAGGGTACTACTGGCCTTATAGAACAAGGAAGTTTTACCACCCCTTGTTTTTGGATAATGAGTTTGAGAAGGATTAATGTTAATGATTGATGTTAATTCTTTAAATGTTTGGTAGAATTCACCAGTAAAGCCATCTGATCGTGTGTTTTTATTTGGGGAAATTTTTTTTTTCATTACTGATTCAATGTCTTCTTATAAGTCTAGATTTTGTTTCCTCTTGAGTCAGTTTCTGTAGTTCATGTTATCTCCATTGAATCTACATTATTACTTCTGCTTGCTTTGGAGTTTTGTTTTGTTTTTTTTTTCTCATTTCTTATGATTCAAAGTTAGGTTATTCATTTGGGATTATTCTTTAATGTAGGCATTTGTAGCTATAAATGTCTCTTTGAGCCTTGCTTTTGTAGATAAGCTCTGCCTTCATTGCATGCCATTAAGTTTTGGCATGTTTTGTCTTCTTTTTCATTCGAAGTGTTTGCTGGTTTCTTTTTTGACCATTGGGTGTTTAGGGCAGTGTTGTTTAATTTCTACCTGTGAATTCCCCACCTTTCCTTGTTATTGATTTCTGGTTTTACTCTATTGTGACCAGAGAATATACTTTGTATTATTTCAATCCTTCATTTATGACCTTGCATATGATCTGTCCTTGAGAATTTTATGTGCATTTAAGAAGAATTCTGTTGCTGTTTGGAGTGTTCTCTATTGTGTTAGGTCTAGCTGGTTTTGTTGTTCAAGTCCTCCATTTCCTTATCAGTCTTTTGTCCAGTTTTTCTATGGCTATCAGAAGTGGAGTATTGAAGTCTCCAGCTGTTACTGTGGAACTATCTATTTCTCCATTGAAATCTGTCGTTTTTTTGCTTCATGTATTTTAGGGCTCTGTTGTCAGATGTGTATATGTTCATAATTGTTATATCCTCTTCATGGATTAATCGTTTTATCAGTACAAAATCCTATTTTTGTCTCTTGTAACAATTTTTAATGTAAAGTCTGTTTTGTCTGATATTAGGGTAACTACCCCAGCTCTCTTTTGGGTAACTATTTGCGTAGAAAACCATTTTTATCCTTTTAATTTCTAACTTTTTGTGTCTTTGGATGTAAAGCAAGTCTCTTTTAGACATAACATAGATCATCATTTTTTATAATCTATTCTGCCCTCTCTGCCTTTTAATTGGTGAGTATAATGCATTTACATTTAATTTCATAAGAAAGGACTTACTTTTCCCATGTTGTTGTTTGTTTTCTTTATGTCATATCTTTTTTGTTTT